GTAAGTACATAAATACATACATACATGTACTCGTAGTACCTTCTCATCTTTGTTTCCGAGCCGCATAACAGGCCGGTCATGATCAGAGATTTGTGGCTCGTGATTTTTGTCCATCGGGAGTTGCCTGCTGGGACGAAAGTAGCACCTGCGCTTAATACCCAGACGGACATGGTAGTGTTAATGCTGGATCTTAAGAATGCAAAGCCCCTAACTGCTTCCAAGTTATAATGCTCAAAGATTCTTAAAGTCTATGACAGTTCTTAAATTACGTTTACATATAAATATAATCTCAATCAAAGATCGTTTACACAGTCAAATCTCGGATTATGAGCTGTCAAATTGGTTCTGCTTGTTTTTCTCTCAACTTAAGGAAAAGTTCAATTTCTGCTCTGATCTACTTTTGATCACTTTTTTCTGCTAAATTAAGCAATTTAAATATATTTTAATTTAATATTTTATTAAAAGTATCTTTACAAACCATTTTTCCTTGCTGGCGACCATTTTTGTTTACTTTCACATTTTGTTTTTCTCCTATTGCATGCAAAAATAATCGATAAAACTAGGTTCGACACTAAAAAGTTATCGGTTTAATCTGAGATTACCTAAAATTACAGATTAACGAAGGAGGAGTTTCTTATGTCTAACCCATTTTTTTTTTTAATTACAGGTTAAAGTGCGGTAATTAGTCTCGCCGCGTGTGTGGGAAAGTGAGCTATCAAAAGTCACACCAACATCGAAAGTTGGAGTTTTATGAACCTAAAAGTTTTCTTAGAGCGTTTCTTCATCTCTGTTGGACCTCCCGCTTGCTCACGTCCTTCTTTTCGCTCAGCGCTTCATGAACTGACATCAGGCGTATTTGTTCGAAAGAGTGCGCAGGTAATCCCACACTTAGCTTGCTCGATGAAATCGCCTAGAGGGTATAGTTCCTGGCCAACGCATTGTCATGCAGTTTCCTAAAACGTCAGAAAAAAATGAGGGCTCCATTTTTAATCACTCCACACGCGGCAGCCGCTAGTGAGGACAGACGAAGGAAGGACATCTTCTGCGATTGATGCCAGTTGACAGGAGAAAGAAATTAATATTAAGAATTAAAGTGTAAATATGAAGATACTCGTGTCGTGTCGTGTCGTTTTGGATATGTACATATTATTCAGCTCTGAGTTGACCTACCAAATTTGGAAATATGTATTTTCACTCAAATATGAAATTTGGTCAAATGACCTCCCCCCTTATCAGTCTTTCTAGTGTCAAGCGACATTTTCTAAATTTTTTTTCATGCAGAAATCCTCCTACAGCATCTGGATGCATTTCTGGATAAAAAAATAAAAATCTTGTCGCTTGCATTTTTTTTTTGGCGCTTAGGGCTCGATATTTATGTATGTGCGTGTGTGTATATTCAAATTTAATTAAAAACTATAAATTGACATAATTTAAATTTCCCGCGAATTCAAATAGGTTTATTTGTTTAGTAAAATGACATTTTCACAACAATGGTAATAGCACCACTGACTGCTTGCAATTCAACCCCTTTCTCCTTTAGAGAACTGACAAACAACTGTCAATCATACAAAACTAAATAAACAAGAGACTTTCAAGTAAAACAAGGAATTTGCATTGCAATGAAAAGGTGCATACTCAAAAAAAAAAACAACAAACAATTATATAATCAAATAATATGCGCAACCTTTGATTTCAGTTATGACTGTTTTTGACTGATGCTACTACCAAACTACCAAGGGATGTACATAATCACAAATTGCGCTACTTATTTGCGAGTACTACGTAAGCAAGAATGTGCATATATCTACTCCTTAATCGAAGATCGCTGAATTGAACAGAAAGTGAACATCCACACCAGCTTTGTTGGTAGAAGCAAATGCGCCTTAAATAAGCACACTTTTCCAGTTTGAGTGAGGTGAATGAAAAATTCGAAACAGAAAGACTACGCACGAATTTTCAAAATTAGTTTTGTGGCATGTGGCAAAAACAGATACTACAGCACATAAATACTTTCAGCTAACTGGCCAACTCATTTGAATGACTGACGTACGTACGTACGCGTATGTATGTATGTACGCAGCATCTGGGTTTAATTAAAAACGTCGGCCTTTGGGCATTCAGGTGGTAATGCGTAGGACAGCAGCCCAGCAGCCCGCCCAGCAGTCCATCAGTTAGCCAAGCAGCCGATTCGTTTCGGAAGAGTTGTTGAAAATGTGTTTATATGTTGAGCGACATGGGCCGTGGAGGATGGAGCTTTATTTTCGTCATCGATATACTTATAAAATTCGTATTTCCGTTGGAAATAATATAATCACATATGCATGCATATATGTATGTAACTATACAAAATCCACATATACTTAATCATCTAACATTCACTTTTGTTTTCCAGAGCACAAATGTATTATTCAAATACGAGTATAAATTATAATCTAATTTCGCGTGATCGCCAACACGTGACCAGAACTAATTCCTTTTTATTGAAATGAATTAAAAAAAGAAAGAAAACAAAAACATATTGCATTGACTATCATTGGATCTCATTAGCGATGGGTGAGTGTCAGTATCAGCTTGCCAGTCAGTTATTTGTCAGACACCCCTTTGAAAGTCGGCGAAAAGCCAAATTCACTTGCGATTGTACCGCGTTACGCTGAGCTGATGGGGATGCAACCGCAGTGATAACTATTGCATGCAGTCAATCTCAACCACCACCACCAACACCACCACCACCACGTCATTTTCAACACAGTTATAATTGCTGTGTCGAAAGCTGTTTTGCAAGTGAATATATGTTTTTCACAGATAGGCATACAGCTATTTAGTATGTAATGTATTACGAAATTGCCACAATATGTTGCAACAAATATAACTGAGCGTTAAATATTAATACGTAACGGAAGGTAAATTTCATACTGAGCTATAAATTTATTACTTTTATTAGAGCAAACCTAAGGAAAGCTCTCAGGCTATTCATATTAAGGAGCACACATATGTAGGTACATACATGTGTACCAAATTCAGTCTGATTATAATTATGGTGTTTTTGTTTCTACCAAAAAATGTCGGCATTTGATAACCCCTTTCTCTTTCGTCTTCAATTCTAAAATAAAGGAAAACGGTTGGAAAATTTTGTGTTCGCTTCTTGAAATGTCACACTCCTGTACTTACGGTAAAAAGGGCACATTCTATGCCCTTTGAAGCTTTGTCAGGGGAGATGGTTGCACTGAAAAGCAGATGGTTGCTTAAAACGACATTACTATGAAGAGCGTGAGCGTGACAAGGACAGGAAAGCAAAACCATGGTCTTTTACAGGGTTGTGTGTAACATCAAACAAACGTTCTAATGAAACCCACTTAGAAAAAAAAATATATTTTTGAATTTGTCATAGGAAATATAGACTTTGAAAATATTTTCGTACTCTTTGGATTGTAATTTAGACATTTTATATTACTTAGTGTCATATCATATTCCTCTGCTGCTTAAGGCTTTCAAAATTACTTAACAAATTACACTCCTCTTGACTACGCAATTGTCCCTTCTTGCCCTACATTCTATGCAAGTTTGTAGTTGATTATACTATCGGAAAGATCCCGAATGAACAAACATCTGGAAACATAACTACTTATATGTATGTTGATAAGCTCTTAAATACTTTGTGATAACTTATAACAACTTAGCCTTGAGTACAGTTGTCCTCTGTCCTTAGAAGTTGAAAGTTTTGGTGACTGGTCCACATACAAGTTCCAGCCCCAGCGCCTATGCGGGATTTATTTATTCTGGATTCAGTAAGCTCGAATCTTTTCACCGATGGATTATTTCCTAGTTTTATTTTTAATAAATTTTAGAAAATTCGTATTCATGCGTGGAATCGAACATATATGTGTATTCAAGCGGCCTTAATCCCTTCATAAATATTTGATATTCTCAGGGTATTCAAGCTCTGTGCCTTCAAGGTTGACTAAATCGAGGATGGTTTTTAAACCTTATTGTGAACAGAATACCAGCAGCTTTGTGACGATTTATGCGGAGGCCGTTCTTAGCCCATCAGTTAGCCACAATACGAAAGCCCGTGTCCAGAAGGTCCAGTATACTTAGTAGTGCCGCAATGAATAATATTTAAGTAGGTCTCCTAGAGATCACCTCTTTGTGAGCAAGAATTCTTCTTCTTGTCTCCTTCGTAACTCTGAAATTTACGGAAGTATAGCCTCAATCTCATCTCAACTGCAAAATGCAAAAAAACGTAACAAACAACGTCACTGAAATGGAGAAAGTAATGACTAATAATTTTGTTTTTTTCATAAAACGATGTGGGGCGTTGTAATTCGATGAAATCCATCCTATCAATCAAAAACTTAATTTTGAATGTTTTGTTCGCTACGACTTTTTGCATTTCAGCGACGATGTTTGTTACGTCTTTTTTCATTTCAGGTGACGATATGTATTTATCAAAACATACTCCCAGATTCTGACAAATCGTCACACAAATAATCACGCTACATATTTGGATATATGTGTGTATTTATATTTTTTTATTTGCTCCAAACTCACTCTTTGCAGCAACACACATAATTTCAGTGCTGAAGCCAATCAACAGAATAAGTGCAGAAGTATTTTATAGACGTGAAGTTCATCAAAGTTCAATTGATATTATCACTGCGAGTACGCTCTACAGCGGGTAGGACTCAGCATTTTGAAAGCAAAGGGCCGCGTTAATTTATAAAAAGACAAATTATAACATTAGATAGCGTCACAATCAATAAGCTCCAGCATTTATACGCAAGCCATAACACTCAAGTTTTTATATAGTTCTTTATCCAACCAAAATAAGATTGGCATCAACAACCTGTCAGCTTTTGTGCCCGCCGCAGGCACTTAACAGATCCGCTCCCGAACAATTTAACAAAATTTTTTGTACTCTTCTATAGTATACATATTTTCTGCAACTGATCGATTGAAAGTGAAACTGGCAGCTCAGTTCTTTGACACACGCTGATCGTTAAGTGTCAAACCATTCAACTCGGCAATTCTTTTTCATAGTTAATTTTTCCATTTAAGGAAAAACATTAGGTGATATTATTTTTTTTTGTGATTTAGTGAATCTTTATGTGTGTGTGTGTGTGCGTCATTAGAAAATCCTCTGACGCATTTGCAGTGATTGCAGACTCATTTGGAGAGATCTATGACTGCTAATAAAGTGTGGAACTAAATAATATTTTTACCACAAATTACACAAGTAATAGATCTTTATCCATTGATCGCAGTATGACTGCCTGTGCCACCGCTGCCACCGAGTATGCTCATAAATTTCGATTACAATGCGATTAATTGACAATAAAATTGTGTCATTAGGAGTAAATCTCCAACTAGTATGAATTCAGTAACTTAATTAGAATGACAGTAAACAGGTTAAACATGAATTGCTAATTACAATTGCTCAGAAGGCTTTGAAACTATGTAATTGCTGTCTGACGGCTGACGTTTGACGTTTGACGATTAGATGTCGGTTAGTGGTTATTAGTGGCGGTAAGTATTATGTAGTCTGCTTAGAGGTTAGAGCAAGGCAAATGCTTTCCGGGGGGGTAAGTGGGTTTGCTGCCATTATAAACATAATCAACAATACAATATGTATGTAATTTGAATGCGTTGATTTTTTATAAATTTTATGTATGTAGCTTATACATATTAAGGTTTCTGCTTAACATTATATATCTATGAGTAAAAGTAAATATGTACTAACATATTTCGAACAAGTCGTGACTGTTTAAAAGTTTTAACTGGAATGCTAAGCTTATTAGTGATGGAAAATCGAGGTGAAGCTCGGAATATCAAAATATAAAATCGAGAGTTGGCGACAACCTTACATCCTGTAAATTCATAGACGCCCTGGAGAGAGTATTAAAAGGAACTACTGAAAAATATATATGTACATATATATATTTAGCCATCACGTGATTTTTAATCTTAGCCGAGCTTTTCGTCCAGAGGAGCCTATGGTTTTAGCTCGTCCCTGAACTGCAAATGGTTATTTGTGAGAATGTTTTTTAAGCAGACGAAACTCCGAGTTTTGTCATTGCACTTCCGGAGAAAAACTTCCTCCATCACCTTTAGATGCTGCGCAGGCTAGTGACGGATGACGGTCTGGTATGGGCTTCATAGCGGCACATATTGTTATCTGCTGCTTCCCAGCATACCCCACCAAAAATTCGCTATTAGAACAAATAACTTCCAAATTTGGGAAGCAAGAAAAATGAAGTTTACTGGGACTATGCATACCCTTATATTTGCCAATGTTAGTGAATAACGGTGAAATGAGTCTTGCCGAAAATTGTAGAGTATGCTTCTAACGGTCGGTGCTGTTCTCATTCAAGACTTACATTAGGCTGGTTCAAAAAAATGTACTATTTTAAATTTTATAACTCGTTTTTACAAAGTAAAATATTTTTGAAGGAAATTGAAGGCTGTAAAAATTTTTCAATAAACTCACTCGTCCAAAAGTTATTCAAGGTTAAGGTTGAACATATAAAATGGATGGGCAAAATGTTAAAACTTATCATTAAATATCATAAATTTTTTTTGGGAGTTTTATATTTTAAATTTTTTTTTTTGAAAACAATATAATTTTGGCAGGTGTCTTTTATAGCTGTCCCGAAAATATTACACAAGCGATTTTTGGAAAAAAATGTGTCAATTATTATTAACCAGTCTAATGTACAAGTATTGTTTTATTAAGCTAGTATCTTTTACGAACTTAGTGGCTTTGAATGCCGGAGTTGAGGGTTCAAATCCCCGTATGATCGACCGAAACAGCAGCTATAACTTCTACCAAGTGTAAATTATTGTTGTTTTTCCACAACATTTTTTTCATTTGAAACGGCCACAATATCCAATCACGGCCTTAATTAGCTTCTGTTAATTACGTTGAGCTCGAGGCACCGGAAAACTGCGCTCAAATCAGAACTAATTTAATCAATTTATAAACAATGTCTTTATATTATAAATATTGATATATATATTAATTGACTTATTTATTTTATTGATTTACTGTAAAACGTGAGTTGATCGATTAGTTTAATGTCAGAGGTCTGAAATAATTTGCTCTAATTGTAGTGCCTTTAGTTTTTAATATTCTAAATAATTATTTGCATTCTTTAATTGTTTAGTGCTGGATGTTTTTCCAATAGGTTTTGCTATTTTTTTTTTTAGTTAAGTAGAATTAAGCTGCATGATAAGTGTCTTTTTAGAGTGGAAATGAATTGATTGTTTTGTGTCTATTAGACCAAATGGGCCAGTAATTGGCTCAAAGAAGTCACGTTCCATTAACAGCGGAGCCAACGTGATGAGGTAAATTCCCTCCATTAAGTTAAATAGGGTAAATAGTTTCTTAAGGCAATTAAAAGTGTTTATTACTTACTAAATTGCCACGCAAATCAAAAGTCAGAAGATCAATAAAAACATAATAGGGATTTACTCATAGCATAGCATCCAAGGGTTAATTTTATTTATTTAAATTGGGGAAAATAACGTGAGTGCTTTAGTACCTGATCGTTTTGGGCAAATGGAATGTTTAATTCGTAGAGTTGCGAACACGTATTTGATATACAATTGAATGCATAGCATTTTGGATCAATAGCCTGTTTCAATGCTGTACTTTCTCCGGGTCAAGTTAAGGGGCGGGCAGCTTAAGAAATAGGAGAAAAAATTTCCCCACGTTTTGTGTGATGCATTTAGAATGCCAATTAAATAATAACCCTTCAAAGTGATTTATTTCAATTTAAAATCATTTAGCATTTGTCTATTAGTAATTAGGTTATTCATTTTTTATAAATTGGATATATGTACATTAGGGTTGTCCTTAAAATCGAGTATTTAAACAAAAATGACTCCACTGGTATTACTGAACAAGGGCTCAATGCGAAAAATGTCATTATCTTCCACAACCTATTGACAATTTTTGACTTATACAAATATTCACGATAATTGTGAGACATTTTCCACTGTTCAATAGTAAGAGTTGCTTGCTTCGGTTTTGTGACAAATGGCACAGCTGTCGGATTGGCAACAAGATGACACAACTCGAAATTACACGTTCGTCAGAAAATGCGAAAAACTATTTCTTTATCATAGGTTTTTTTTTTTAAGAAATTATGACAAAAATTTTCTCTAGCTTTCGCTGAAATATATATAAAAGCTCTGCGTACATTTTTAGTGTATAGTTTCAAATATTCCAAATTTTGAGTGGTGTCACTTTTGAAGAGCGTGTGCGATATGTCGATTTGCCACAGAAAAATATGGGTATCAATAAACCTAATCCGCTATATGACTCAAAATGATGAAATTTTGAGTTGTGCCATTATTGCAGAGGAGGTTTGGCACATACATATGTATATGTATGTATACTGTACCAGAAAAAAATTGTCCCGTTCACATTCGAAAGTAAAGTATTTATTCCAGGCTTTTTCGAAAAGAAAAAATTTCCGCACGTAGGGATCGTTTTTTACATTTTCCATGATGTCTTCGGCATTTACAGTGAGACCCTCAATTATGATATATTGATGTTCGAGGTGAAATTTTATTTTATTTAAGGTTCATTGACCTGAAGTAGCCCCTTTCAAGTATTTACCTACCAGTTCTGGGTTCTTATCACTCGAAAGTACGACCCTAGTCTTAGTAAATTAAAGCTCACCAAAATTCATTAAACTTTTGATTAGGAAATACATATTTCGATAATTCCAATCGAAAATGTAAAAATACGACCCCTACGATCGGGCATAAAGCAAAATTTGTTTTCCAAATTACCTATCAAAAATACTTTAGACTGAGGGCTGTGTGACTTTTTTTTTGCTTGTAAGGTGCTACGGTTTAATTGCTCATACATATATGTTAAAATTCTGTGTGCTAAACGCGCTCACAAATGCAGTTTCCGTTGGCATCCACCTGGTCCTTTGGAAAAACTTATTGGATCTTATCTTTGATCTTTGATCTTTGCTTTTAGGCAATAGGAGAACTTCGTTTTGGTCTAATTTTGTCGAAGAATAAATTCTGAAGAGATGTGGTAAAAAAAATGAAAACACTTTTATCGCATCAAAATAGAGCTGTCTATCCCCACATGGAAAGGCTGAATTAAGAGTTCGCATCGTTATCCTCCGTTGGTGCAAATATGTAGCTTATTCCAAAAAAGCCAAAGATCATCGGGCGGCAGATGCCAAAAAATTATACTTTTTGTTGAATTTTCATAATAATTTATGCGCTAAATTGAGCTCAACTATACTAAAAAAAACTGCCAAAAGCCCTATTTCGGCTACAATGTGGAGTCAAGGAACGTACGCCATACAACATGCAAATGAAATGTGGCTTATATTATGAGGGTACTTCTTTTTTATTGCCTCAGTATAAAATTCTCTTTAAAATGTATTAGTTTTCGAAAAAGAAACTTCTGCGACGTAAACAATTCCAGATCGGTGCTTGCAGAAAAAAATGCGCACTTTTAAGTGAATCGGTGTGTATTTCAAATTACATACATTCTTTATCTAAAAGCATAAACAGACGGCAGCGTTGATCCGGATCAACTCGGGAATTAACTGCAGTGGATCCGGATTAAGTCCGAGTTAGTCCGGATCAACGTTGCCGTCTGTTTAAGCTTTAATAGCACAGGTGCCGTAATCTCACTTTTATATCAATTATGCAATTTCTATAGATACATATGTACACTTCGGAGACCTTAGTAAAATTGTAATTAAAGTCTTCAAACGTCAAGTCGAAGTGAACCGTTTTTCAATCATACGCCCTGTACACCCAACTGACACGTGGCAACAACAACAAAGTGTTCTTTATTGAACATTTAGTAACAATGTAATACAAATAAATATGTAAATAATTTAAAGTAAATTACATATAATTAAATATTTCTCAATTGGTTGCACACTTAATAAAGTAGTTTTGTAAAGGAAATGATTTTACTAAGAAATTAGTGGAAAAAAAAAGTATTGCAACAAATTATAGAATATCCTCATTAACCACATGCCGTTACAGTTATTATAGCGCACGAGTATGTTTTCTCTTTAATTAGCAAACTAGTCTCCAAGGTTATTATTATCATCTGGGGACTCTTATATAATGTACACATTTTGTACATATTTTATGGAAAATAGCAATATTTATTTATTATCATTTCCTTTTTATCATTTTTAATTTTTAGTGAAAAAA